GTGCTACTCGTTACCATCAACGAGTCTATGAACTGGAAGGGAGGTACACTGGAAAAGGATTACACCACTATAGAAGATCCACCACAAATCGAGAGGACGATGGAGAACGGCAAATCGGGAAAACGCAGAAACATTGAGATTCAATGATCGATACTTCTTTCAGAATCCAATAAAAAAGGTTTGATTTTCAATTCTAAGATTTCTGAGAGGGCGAGGTGGAGAAACTTTAGATTTTGGCTAAATCCTTGTCTGGTTTAGTGGCTTAGTTCTTGTTTTGAATTTCTAATTCGAAATTCATCTATTACCCTTTGAAACCAGAGCTATAAAGATGGTAATCGATCTTTCAATTTCAATTTAGACTCAAATGCTTCATGTTTCTTTTTTCCTCAAGATTGTTAAGAAGAATGTTAATGGTTATACTACTATAGGTTTGGCTTTAGGTTTTTCATAGCTCATTTTAACAAGACATGCCATTTGAATAAGAACTGTAAGGCTAAACCATCAAGTGAACTGACTGCAGTTGGTGTTGGTAAAGCCCCTGGGGTCACAGAAACTGACCTCAATCAGTCTTCTTTTAGAGTTGAGGTACCTTTGAGCATTGAAGGAGTGGCTGAAGATCCTAAGTTATGTAATTCAGGCTCAGGGTACCTTGATCACATTTGTCACAACTCTTTGACAGACAAAGTGAATTCATTGGCTAGCCCATATATTTTTAACTGTTTTTGTTAGGTCGTTACATTGTCCACTTGATTGCTAGAAAATTACACCCTTAGCAACGTGCGTTGGATAGGAAACACTTAAAAATTCAGGAGAACAGAGGCAAGGAACTTGGGTTTTTTTTACCTTTGCTATTAGAGGAACTTCTTACAATTTCCGTCATATTTTGCTCAAATGTTATGCTAACTTATATTTCTACAGGTTTCATAGGAGGTAATCCATCTGACACGAACTCAAGTGGCATAATTGATTTAATATTTATTTGTGCAATTTGCATCCAAGTTAAGGTAGTCTCATGAACCTTGTCTGGTTTAAGTTTTTGATTTTTGATTTTTTGATTTTAGTTTTTAGTTTTTGGATTATGGTTTTTGGTTATCGATCTTAGTTGTACAAAGCCTAAACCATTTTTAACTTTAAACCATAAACCATAAACTCACATCCTCGATCACCCACGTGTACTTCACTTTTCAGGTTGTAGTGCTGCTACCCTAGAAATAATTGATGCAGAATTCTCCGCTCGTGTTATATGTTTAGTAAATGTGATAGATAGCGGGTTACATAGTGAGTATGCAGCTCAAAAAGATGTTTACAATTTATTGGCTCTTATTTGTGAATGTGAAATAAGTTGGTTTATCTATATTCATTTGCATGTTCTTTATGTATATTGCATGTTGGATTAACGTCATTGTAGGGTGACTTTAAGTGTTCATGTTTTTCTTATTCTTTGCTTCATAGTAACTAAATATTTTTTTACTCTGCATTACTTCACAGTCCCAACTCTTTGCTTCATAATGTGAATTTTTTTCTAATCAATTGGTTGGAACTTGTAATAGCACCAAAAGGGCAGCGAATGGCATTTTTTAAGTGATCGTGTCAATCAATGGCCTTTTTTAAACCTATAGATGACTCTGATGTGGCTACTAGTGCTAGTACTCCTATTGTGTTGTTCGCAAATGAGAGTCTTACTGTGAATGTTATTGCCCGAAGTGATGCAATCCTAGATGATGAAACATTATCAACAAAAGATGGTAATGAGGTTACTCTTGCAAGCTGTAACAGATTCTGTTTATAAGCCTACAGACTCCATATTGTGGCAAATAGGGCAGGTACTCTTGCTTTGTTAGAAAATGAGTCTTGTTGTGAATGTGCCCAAACAGATTCAATTCCAGATGCTGAAAAATTATCAACAAATATTGTTCCTACTACTTGTTAACTATCTAAGAATTATATGGCTATAGACGTTGAAATTCCATTGAAACTGTCTGAGAAGAAAAAGCTTACTGTGTTTTACATCGGTGGGAATTTTTCCAATGATATGTTTCACGGCTTTGGGCAATTGTTTTGGCTTGTTTTTGTTTTGTTTCCTAATACCCTTAATTCATTTCTTTGTTTTGAAAGAGGTAAACTTTCTGCCTACAACATGTAGGTTTCATTGGAGGTATTTTTTCATTTGCAGGCAAACTCAAGATCACTGCAAGCCCCATTGACTAGTGGGTTAATATTTTTCACTGCAATGGGTATTGTCCATTTATTCTTGTTTGTGCAAGCCTTTTAGCAGCTTTGAATCCAGTAGGAAATGGTAGCTGCTTCAAAATATCAGTAGCCGGTTCAAACAAGAATCAAAACTGATGCTGGTCAAAAGGTTTTGTTTTCAGTTTGCTTGAAACTACTCAATTGCCACACTATTGATATAGAAATCATCCTAAATAGGACTAAAACATAGAGAAATGTACCAAAATAAGACTTTCATGTTTTTTTCTCGGAATAGGTCTTGACACTGTGGTAATGTGACTTTGCATTGTGGTAATGTGGCAGTGTACATGTGCAAATTACTATACTTTTTTGGTAATGTATATGACCATGTTTGGTAATGTAAGTCCTATTTCGGGAATAAAAACATGGAAGTCCTATTTTGGTATATTCTCAATGTTTTAGTCCTAGTTTGGTCTTTCTCCCCTATTGATAGGAGTCCAAATAAGTTGGTCCGGCCACATCCCGCTGTTTGGCAGCTTCCCTTTTTGACAGTAAATGTTTTTTTGCTGAGACACCCTTGATCATCATTTCAACTAAAGATACAGGCCACACCTGCTAGTTATTATTCATTGAATTGTATTTATGTTTTTAGTCTTTAGTAAATTGGAATTGATCATTTTCTTTTTCTTTGTTGAACTGAGCCGAGGCAGTACTCAGCTTGCCAATGTACATCTTCTTTTATCTAATAAATTTTCTTTTTTCTTACGAGTAAATTAAATTAAAATATCATTCTAAATTTAAAAATCTCAATTACAATAAATACCCACCAATGTAATGTTAATTCGACTTTAATTTAAAAGTTAGTTTGGACACACATAGTTATTTTATTATTTTAAAAAATTAATATTCTACACACTTATAAGTGTGGTGTCTTAAGAACACATGTAAGTGTTGCAAATTATAATATTAGCCACACATACTAAGAGTTGTTAATATAAGCATTAGCCACACTTATTTATAAGTGCGGTAAAAAATTCCCCACATTTACGTAGCCGCACTTAGGTCAAGTGTGGCAAATCGTTTTTTCCACATTTATAAGTGTGGCGAACAACAGTTTTAAGAGCGGAAAAATGGATGTTAAGAGTGCCTTCTTCAATGGTTTTATTCAAGAAGAAGTGTATGTTGATCAACCCCTAGGCTCTGAGGATTTTGAGCACCCGGAGCATGTCTATAAACTAAAGAAAGCACTCTACGGTCTTAAACAAGCACCTCATGCTTGGTATGAACGTTTGAGCAAATTTCTTTTAGACAACGGGTTCAAAAGGGGGAAGGTTGATACTACACTTTTTATCAAGAGTAAAAACGATAACATCCTCTTGGTAAAAGTTTACGTAGATGACATTATATTCGGTGCTACTAATGAATCTTTGTGCAAGGAATTTTCAAACTTAAAGACAAATAAATTTGAGATGTCCATGATGGGAGAACTCAATTTCTTCTTGGGCTTACAAGTAAAACAAATGAGGGAAGGAACCTTCATTTATCAATCAAAGTATTGCAAGGAGCTCCTAAAAAGATTTGAAATGGGTGGCTCCAAGGCAATGGCTACCCCGATGAGCACCTCCGAACACTTGGACAAAGATGAAAAGGGTAAGGAGGTAGACGTAAAGAAGTATCGAGGTATGATCGGATCTCTTCTTTATCTTACCGCTAGTATACCCAATATCATGTTTAGCGTTTGTTTATGTGCAAGGTATCAATCTTGTCCGAAAGAATCGCACTTAACGGCGGTGAAACGAATAATGAATTATCTTGTTGGAACAATGAACGGTGGACTATGGTACCCCAAAGGATCTCCTTGTCATCTTTTTGGCTATTCTGATTCAGACTTTTCCAGTTGTAGATTAGACCATAAAAGCACGAGTGGGACATGTGACTTGCTTGGTAGCTCGTTAGTTTCATGGTTTAGTCAGAAACAAGTCAGTGTTGCGTTATCCACAACTGAAGCGGAATATGTTGCCGCCGGTAGTTGTTGTGTTCAAATCCTTTGGATGAAGCAACAACTAGTAGACTATGGCCTTAGTATCGATCATGTTCCTCTTCAATGTGATAATACTAGCTCCATACGCTTGACGAAGAATCCGGTTCTTCACTGAAGGACGAAACATATTGACATTAGGCATCATTTCATTAGAGATCGTGTTCTCAAAGGTGATGTTGAAATTGAGTTCGTTGAAACACAAAATCAATTGGCTGACACAAAACCTTTAGTGAAAGAGTCATTCTTCCGCATTCGTAGTGAACTCAGAATTCTTGACTCAACGATGATCTAATTTGTGCATTAATTATTTTTTTTGGTCATTACTATGGTTCACTACGACCGCGCAGAGGCGACTCGTTTTGCCGAGAAGTTTGAGCACTAGGAAATTCTTCCTCCCCGGTTTTCCACCGCCTGTTTCATCCATGGGTCCATTCCACGAGAGGCATAGGTTATCCTCGAACGTGGAAACGCCCTTGACCTCCTCTACATCAAAAAGGGTCACTATCAACCCTTTCTCGTTCGAGCATTCTACTCGAATTTGAAAAAGGATGAGGACGGCGCATTGATCTCAAACGTCAACGGGAAGGAGATATATTTGAATGAGGAGAACATTCAAATACTCACCGGGCTTCGCCGGCAAGGAGAGGATCTCGGCCTCTACGTCAGAGAAGGAGGGGCACAGTTCAATGAGACCGCCCTCTTGGAGGAAGTGGGAATCCGAAACTTCATCCCCACTCCCTAATTGCACCGTCCCATGATTACTTCCATGAGTCCCGTGTTTCGATTCATATTCTATGTATTGACACGGCTTCTCAAAACACGGATGTTCAATCACACCGCTCTCTCCCAAGAGGACACAAAGACGCTCCATGCGATGATTCACAACGCCAACATTAATTGGTGTAAATTTGTGATGACTCACATGTTTAGCGCTACCTTTGACAACCGGCCGCTTCCCTACGCCCTTCTGGTCATGGCGATACTTGAGGAATTCCACGTCAAGACCGACGTTGGGCCGAAGCAAAAAGGGACGAAGCATTGGGAGATTGATGAATCTTCCTTCCACCCGGGAACCGATGAATCTCCATTCCCGCAGCCTCATCCACGCCGCCAACCAAGGGCAACCTCTTCAAACAACCCATCTCTAGCCACGCAAATGGCCGCCTTGACCGCCACCCTTTCTCGGATTGACACCAACGTCTCCCAAACGGCCCAAAACTTCAACATCTTGAGCCCTGAGCTTCATGGGTATTTTGACTTTGTCAACTACCCTTACGCTCAAATGGTCCCCTACGTTCCTCCGCCAAACTCCGGGGGTGAACCAAGGGGAACAAATGACGTTGGTGGTGATGAAGAGGACAACGTTGAAGATGAAGAAGAAGAGGAAGAAGAAGCCGAAGAAAAAGAAGACGAAGAAGAATAAGAAGAAGACAAAGAAGAAGAAGAAGAAGAAGAAGACGACGAAGAATAATAAGAGGAAGAGGAAGACATCGATGAAGACCAACTCCTCGATGAGCTTTCCCCGGATTTCTAGAGATCTAGCTCTTTTCTCCTTTTCTCTTCCTATTTTATGTTTTTTTTTTAAATTTCTTCCGTTATGTGTACTCCACCTTTTTCCTTATTTAATTAAATAAAAATCTTTATGGTTTTTTAAATCTTTTTGTTAATGTCAAAAGGGGGAGGATAAGGGCTATGCATATATTAAGGGGGAATTTTTTAAGGGGGAATTGTTTTCAAAAATATCAAAACCCTATGCATATCCCCGTCTTGTTTGCCATTATCAAAAAGGGGGAAATTGTTGGAACACACTTTTTATTGTTTTAAACTAAAGTCGTGTTCATTTCTGACAGGTTTTGATAATTGCCAAACCGACGTGGATATGAAGAGTTTTCGTTGAACAACTCAAGGCGTGAAGAATGACACGGAACATGACCAAAAGACTCAAGGACAAGATCAAGAATTGAAGACTTAGTCAAGTCGGTCTTAGGGGCTGTTTGGCAACTTTTGAATAGGTAAATGCTGAACCAGTAAGAGGTCTGAACCATTAAGTGCTGAACCATTCAGACATTTGAACCATTAAGAGGCTAAAACAAACAGCCCCTTAGTGTGATCAAAACCAACAATCAATTCATGTCTCGGTTCTCAAAGAGTCAAAATAATTTTTACAAATCATAAATTATTTTTATGCATCAAAATAAACATTTTTTTTAATAAAGGTTTTAAAGTATTTAAATCCCTGGTCCTTGCCAAGACCAAAACCACTTCGGTCGGCATTTGGCATCCGGCTCCAAACAAACTCGGTGGTTTTGGTATTTTAAACCTCGTCTTACCTCTGGGCATATTTTAAAAGGTTCCCAATTAATTATTTTATAAAAACCACTTTGGTATCTTGGTCTTTTGGTCTAACACGTGAAAAAGGGTCAAAATCGTACACATGTGAAAAACGACCTCAAAGACTTGGTTTTTAATAAACAAGTCTTGATTTTACTATTTTATACCATATACAATGTTTTTCAAACTTGGTTTTTGGACCTCGGTTTTTCAAATTGGGTTTTCACCAGCTGGGTCTTAGCTGGGTGATAATCAATTATCACTTTAGTGACAATCGACTATCAGCCTCTACAGCTTTGAACTCCAAGTTCCAAAGCATGCAATAATCGATTGTCACTTCTGTAACAATCGATTATCAAGGTCTGTAGCCAAAACCCAGAAACTTCTAAGAGGACCAATAGTCGATTAATAGTTTCAGACAATCGATTATCTAAGTTACTATTGTTCTCCAATGGATAGAATTATAAATTTTTGGACAAAGAATCTTTTGACAATCAATTTTCATGGTTTGAAAATCGATTATCACTCTGCAACTCTTAAATTTTTGTCCTGATCCTGTTGGAAATTTTGCACCGGGTTTATCCCATTTTAGGCTGTAAAATGGAATCCAAATCCTCTCATTTTATATACAAATCTTCAACATTTCAATATTCTCTCATTACATTAGCATTTCTATTTTTCTTAGCTATTTGAGAGCCAATTCTCAAAGAAATTGTCGTGTTCTTGAGCGTATACTAGTTCACTCATATCTACTCTTTTTGAGAGTTTTATTCCTAAGTGTTCAAGTGTTTTTACACACTTGAAGGGAGGTTGTTCCCTTGTTGTAAACTCAAAGGAAGTCTTTGTTCCTTCGTGAGAAGTCTTGGAGTGCGGTATCTCCGAGCAAAGGCATTGAGGCTCGTGTGACTCGGGTTCTCAAGTTGTATCAGTTTGTTAAGCACCTTTAAGCTTAACGGAGTTAGTGTAGCTCGATAGAGTCTCTCGCGAGGCCTTATTAGCCACACGTTGTGGTGAACTAGGATAAAATTTGGTGTGCTCCTTCCTTATGCTCTTTACTTTATCGCTCTCGTTTTTAATTTCCTGCGATTTTGTTTTAAAGGCTATTCACCCCCCCTCTAGCGTTGGGCGTATATTCTAACACAATCTCCACAGGCTGACGCACAAAAGAAACCTTACTATTTCTTCTACTTTGACGAAAAGAAAAAAGTCCATATTCCGTCACCAGAACCCACACAAATCACACCGATATATCGGCACTCCGTTCAGGTAGATTAGAACTCGCCGACCACGAGACAGTTGGTTGGCCAAGAAAAACTCCTAAACAATCATCCAATTGTTTGTGTGCGTGTGTGTGCGTGCGTATGGAAATGAACTTTGGGTGTGTGTGGGCAATAAAAGTTAACTAACCCCCAAGGACCCATAGACATTTTTTGGGTACCAAAGTGTTGCTTTGTAGGTAAGCAACAAGCACAAAAATCAGGGGGAACCATGCCAACATCGCTGTCCAGAAGGGCATGTCTCCAAGTGAGGAACTCAGGGGGAACCAGCAATTGGTGGTTGATCCCATCGTTGGGAAGGAAGTATTTTATAACCAGCAGCCTCTCTCCCATCTATAGGAACTTGTTCACATCGATGGATGTTTGACACTTGTTCTTTTTAAAATTTTTAACGGATTTCTAGTACCCCTTACCCAGCGATGGGGTTTTCTGCACGAAGGCTGCCTTCTTTTTTTTTCCTCCCTTCTCCAATAGTTGTCCTCCCATCGATGGGTAGATAGGTACATCACTCAGAAGCCTGCTACGGTTCAAAAAAAAATATATAATATAATATCTCCCGAAGAGGAAGATTTCGAAGATGCGGTCGACGGTGATCCCATGATGTCGAGGATGACAAAGATGATGACGACGATCGACGAGGACGCCGAATCCTAGATCTCTTCTTTTTCTCCCTTTTTAATATGCTTGTATTTAAATTTTCTATTCCTTGTATTCTGCATTTCCCTTTAAATGAATAAAAGTTTACTTTTAATTCTTTTTGTTAATGCCAAAAGGGGGAAGATATAAAGGTTATGCATAAATTGAGGGGCAATGTTTTCCAAAACTTTTCTAAGGCAAGAGTGTTTAAAATATAACTCTTGTTCAACACATAAACCTTGTTGAAAATAAAATTGCATTTAGTAAGGGAGAATATTTTTTTCTCAAAACAATCCTCCGATGCATAACCTCGTCTTGTTTGCCTTTATCAAAAAGGGGGGAATTGTTGAAACACGGGTTTACCACTTCATCGTACTAAAGCTATGTTTTTTTCATGACAGGTTTTGAATATACAAGGCGGAAATAAAGATGAAAAGAAAGCAAGAGAACAAGAGCTAAAAAGACCAAGAACGAAGACCGTAGTCTTTAGTGTCGTTGAGTTGGTCACAATGTGATCAAGACCGACCCAAGCATTACACTTTGGCTCTTTAGGCTAAAACATCTTTTATTGCATTTCACATATCATCAAAATGATTTTCAAACTTGTTTAAACATATTAAAAACACTTGGTGTTTGCCCAAACCAAAAACTAAGTGATCTGGCATTCGGCATTCGGTTATCGAAATTGGTTTTTGGCGTCCGAACCAACCACGTGTTTTTAAACATCTGTGATTGTTTTTTACTTCTGGGCACATTTAAATAGTTCTCGAACAAAAACACTTTAAAAACCATCTTTCGTTTTTGGTCGTTGGTAAAAACCATGCAAAACGACATAAACTTGGCTAGCCGTGGTTTTTACCTGAATGAAGTGGTTTTTAAGCTATTGTACTAGGTTTCTACATAAAATACATTATATAAGAGTTTCAAACACTTGGTTTTTATTTTGGAGAGCTTCACATTTTTCATTTGGGTTTCAGCACCGGTCGGCTAGGCCATGGTTCACGTAAAAACCATAGGTTTCTCCACAAGCCATCAACCCAGTGATGGGAGATATTACCCATTGATGGGTAAGTGATCCTGGATTCCAGAACCATACCACCCAGCGATGGGAGATATTACCCATCGATGGGTAAGTGATCCTTTAGCTCAGCTGGATTCCAGAACTATGCCACATAGCGATGAAGAGTTCCACCCATCGCTGTACAAGCCTTGATTCAACATTAACACAAGGCAGAATGCCCCTACCCAGCGATGGGGTCTTGTACACATCGCTGGTCACCCAGCGATGGGAGGATATACCCATTGGTGGGTAGGCATGACCATTTTAAGGAATTTAAGCCTGATTCTTTCCTTGTTTGAAAGTCAGCCTCCCACCCAGCGATGGGAAGTTCTTACCACTACAAGAAAAACCACTTTTAATTACGGATTAGTTATGACGGGTAAGACATACTCTCATTAAATGTATCATTTACATATTTTTCATGACGGGAGAAATACTGTAACTAAACATTTTTGTTTTTTGACCAATTGTTTTTCTTTTTATTTTTATTAATTAAATACTCTCATTATAAATATCTAAACCATTAATCCCCTTAATATTAGTTTAAAATATATTCTGATTCCCACTTAGGGTCTGTTCTTTTGGACTTGAACTCTTAACTTCCAGTTTTTTCCAGTCCTTCCAGTTCTTTCCAGTTTCTTCCAGTTTCTTCCAGTTTCTTCCAGTTCTTCTAGTTTTTTCCAGTTTCTTCCAGTTCCTTCCAGTTTCTTCCAGTTTCTTCCAGTTTCCAGTTTCTACTTTCTGACAAACCACTCTAAAAAATATATTATTATTATTATTATAGTTTTTTTAATTACAACTTTTATGTTCATAAATATAGTTTATAAATTATTTCATTTTGTCATCTCACTATTTTTATGATTTATATTCATTATTTTTTTCTTCAACTTTTTAATATGAATAATACCATTTTTGTATATTAATCTACAAGAAAAAATAGGAAACTATTTAAAAAATTATGGTTAAATAGTCGCAGGAACTTTTATTTATTTCGATGTTTTCATTGATTATTTGATAAAATAAAATATTCTTGACACCTCTTATTTCGAAGAACTTTTCATGTAGTAAGAGTATAACATAAAAAATGTAAAAAAACAGTTCTATGTTTTTATTCAAAAAGTAGGGTTACAATGGAAATAAATTGCCAATCCTTAAAGAAAGAATAGGTTTGATTACATTATGTGACATGTCAGATATTTTAAACAAAATCTTGTAATATATAAAATATAATTACAAATATATTATTTTATAATAAATACATATAGCCATAATAACTCTTAACTATTTAACATTTTGATATTTATGCTAATTTTATATTCTAATTATTTTTTTAAACTATCTTTTTATGTATGAAAATAATATTCGTAATTTTTTTTATATTCTAAAGACAATCATTTAGATAACGTAATAACACCACCACTACCACCACCACCACCAACAACTACAACAACAACAACAACAACAACAATAATAATAATAATAATAATAATAGCAATAATAATAATTTATATCAACAAGAATCAGAATGAGAATAATTTAAAACCACACATAAAAATTTTTTAAAAACTTTTTTTAGATTTTACAATTTATTCTAGTTTTTTCAGTTTCTTTTAATTTTTTCCAGTTTTTCCAGTTTCTTCCAGTTTCTTCCAGTTTCTTCCAGTTCTTTCCATTTCCTTCCAGTTTCTTCCAGCTTCTTCCAGTTCTTCCAGTTTCTTCCAGTTTCTTCCTGTTTCTTCCAGTTCCTTCCAGTTTCTTCCAGTTTCTTCCAGTTTCTTCCAGTTTCCAGCTCTTTTTTTCCAGTCCTAAAGAACAGACCCTTATTCCAAATTAAAATAAACCTCATAGATTACCTTAAAAAGTAGACTGGATATTAATCCAAAATTAAAAATAAAAGTAAATATACGGAGTATTTTTGTTCAGAGATCATAGACCGATGAGTTCTTCACAATGTGGAATGGCGCCACTTCAATAAGTTCAATTGTTAGCAGGTGCTTGTGAATTCTCCCTTCAAACGCAGAAATGATGATACTTCAATCTGACGTAGATTTGGATAATCGCAAGATGGCGCCACCTAGTGTATAAACCCTAGCCCCGAAAGTTAGAAGTCTTGACGATTCGGAGACTGAGGATGTGAACGTCTTTAGGTGCCGGCCACGGCGGTTGGCTTGATTTCAACAGGGGGTATTCGATTTTGGCAGCGGCTCTCAACTCTTAATTGTTATTTTTTACTTAAGTTTTAAATTTTGCAGTATTGTTAAATTGTACTTAATTTTTGAAGAAATGCACTATGCATGTGATTTAGTGATTGTTACTATAATGTTTTAGATGCAATAGATGCATCTAATTTCACTTGTATTTAAAATTTATATGGTACAGTTGGTTTTTACTCCTTCACATCTAAGGGATGTGATTTTAGAAAATGAATTATTCATTGCGGAGCATATTGTGGGTGCAGGTTATGCTAAACATAATTTTAATGCTACTTATTGAGGGTGAATTGATCTTCTCAGTTTTTTTCCAGAATACGGACCTTATTCAGGATGAAATGCTGCTTTCTAATAATTTATTTTTAAAGAGATGCTACTTCGGAGTAAGGACCTTATTGAAAATAACTTCTTAAAAGTATTTATTTTTGCCAAGAAGGTGAAAGCTACAACGGATCTATGCAAGTTTAGGTTATGCAAGCTTCAGGTTGGTATTGCTCTTCGTATGGTTTAGTGTTCTATTTGGCTAATAATTTTTGAATTTCCTTGATGCTAGGTCAGGCCATTTACCTGTTGTTTGGCAATTTACTCATTCTACATTTTTAGATTATATAGTTCTAGTGTTTGGTAGACATTTGATGATGAAAGTTTTTAATTTTGGAAAATGTTAGAAGATACACGCATTACAAAGAGAAGAGCCACTGATGACACTTTTAGAAGTCCCAAAAATGACCCGATCCATACTTTACTCAAAACTTGACTCACTCATGACACTTTTTTATATTACGGAGTATTAATTTGTTATACCCCAAATGCTATCGAGTATTAAAACACTTGTAATATTCCATAAAAGCTACAAGTAAATAAAAAATATGGATTAAAACATCATCCTTATTATGTCGGTCGGTAAAGTATCCATGCTTCTACTTTTTCTAGTGATTGTTTCTCATTGTCAAACGTTCTTGACTGGCTGTTTCACTTGTTTGCAATTAGCTCTAGTAGATGATTCAAAAATCAACAATAACATCTTGAATGGTAAGAAAGAAAGTAAGCCTAGCAACTTCCTACCTCTAAGTCGTCATCTTCGAGTGCATGTAAAGATATTATTTTGAAATTTGATTTCAAATAGATTCATGAATAAATTATACTTCGAATAAATTATTTTGTACTGGTTTTGAGAGCGGATTTGTGATTTCTAATTCATTAGATGATAGAGATGATTCTGGCTTCTTAGTTCCAATTTTCAATCAACTCTAAGGCCTGTAAATTGTCTGACTCTCAGGTTTATATCTTTTCCTCTTGGTGACCATTCATTATTCTTAAACGCTCTCTAGTAATATTGATGATGATGTTTTGTTTTTTGTTGGCTATGTATCCTGTACAGTGATATGCAATTAAAGATTTTGCTCTACTGCAATATTTTGAATAGTTTGTGCTTTTTTCATGTTCATTTGCTCTGATATATTATCATGAGTATTTTTTTGTGTGTGTAGATAATTTTATTTATGTTTAACAATGTTGATGGATTAATAAACTTCAAGGTTTGTTTTTTAATTTTCTTAATGTATTTTAATTCTCATTAAAATAAAAAATAAAAGGAAAGTTTAGTCATTGTTTACTTAATACTTTCTTCATTTCAATAGGGCTATCTTTCATTGCATCTTGATCTTGCTTCTACTGTGAAGTCAATCTTGATACATGAGGTAAGTTGCATCAGAGAAAATCCTTATTGTCTCTAAGCATTTTAATAAAGTGATTTTAGGCATTCAAGCGAGAACCCATGTTCTTCTAGTTTTAGTATAAGAATGCCCACAAGTTTGCATCTTGGATACTCCCTCTTCTCGAAAGGAAATTTTTATTGTAGTGAGAGTTAAACACTTCATAGAGTATAAAGATGAATAAGTATTGAATGAAGTGGTACTTTTAGAACTTAAACTAAAGAGCTAATTTTGATGGCGGATATGGCATACTTTTCCAAAAATGAAAATGTTCTTATTTTTTGGAGGGGGTTCTTATCTGGTTTATTTTAAGACTGAAAATCTTTTTTTAAGTTTGACCCTTTTATGTGATAAAAACATGTCGAGACTTGTGAAAGAGAACTCTTTTTTCCATGAACAGACTAAAATTGATGTTTGGTTTTGTCCTTGTCAATCTTGTGGTCAATTCTAATGCCGACTTATTTGAAGCTGGCGAGAAGGAATTATTACTGAGAAGAGCAAAAAGGATGAAACTACATTCACTGTCAATTCTCTAGGTATGTCACACACACACAAGATCTATGCCAGATCTACACCCCCTATAACATGATAAGAAAAGAGACGGTATCTTCAGTTCTGATGTTATTATGGATTACTTCATTCCTTGCCCTCCAGATTGTAAGTTTTACTTTGTTTAAAATGCTTTCTAATGTTCTAGAAAGGAACCCATCAGTTGGCATTTTAGCTGGTGATGAGGTGTGTGTAGCTAGGTATATTCTTGAGGTAAATAATTACATCTTTTTTCACTTTTTTAACTTATGGCATCCATGGTGTGACTGTAACATAACTCTTCCTCCAAGGATTGCATCCTTTGATTATTCTTGTTTGGTTTTTTCACCTTCGTGCCAGGGCGATTGGAATATAATGATGCCGGTGCTCACACAAACTAAAGGTAAAGAATGCTTAGGTTATGATGGTTTTTTTGCATGCACGAACGTGCATTTTCTATGATATGTCCTTGCACATCAATCAGCAGCCAGGTGCACATTGAACATCTCAAACGGGAAAAATGAATGAAAGAAAGAACGAAAGAAAGAAATAAGCTTAAATAATGACGCGACACTCTGATTATAGTTTTAGGCCATACTGGCTTAATGATTATAGTTTTGGCTTAATGAATAGAATGGAGGTCAGGTTTAGAGTTGGCCAGAGATGGGTGGTTCGTTATCAGAGGTACTCACTATGATCTATCCTTCACCAAGCCTGAATCTTAACTTGTGAATCTATCAAGCAGTTTATTAGCTATTATGATATGGTTAGTTTTTTTCTATTCTTCCAGATAGCCTCAAAATGGACACAAAAGCTAAGGATGCTTGGCCTCCATGGTAAGAGGGAGAAATTTGCATTGAAGTTTTACAATGAAGTGTGCTATTTCTTTAAGTCTTACAATGAAATCTACAAAAGAATCATATGACTACTTTAAGGATACATGCAGCACCCACAGCCGCAACAGCAACCCCTTCTGTTCTCTCCCACCACAGAATGTTGCTCTTCAAACTGGAGATCATAAAAAGTCCTGATGGATAATGCTCATTGCAGGTAGTTGTTGGTGCAGCATGCCCTGGAACTTAGTATTTGGAGTGTAATTTTTAATATAATTTCATATATGTTGTTGGACTAGGTTGTGATCCTAAGCTTATATAGGTGTCAGTAGAGTTGTGATGTTTTAGTCTTTTTGTACCAACACATTTGAAGTATATATTCTAAGGCATAATTCCTTTTCGGATTTTGCTTCTTAAATTTTGCAGCATGCTCTTGTATTTATCTTTTCTTATTTTAATAAAATATTATTTAAATGTATACTCTCTCTTTATATACATATACATATATATATATATATATATATATATATATATCTGTATATACATACATATATATATATATATGTATATATATATATATATATATATATATATATATGAGCTTGAAGGTCAACATTATGAAATTAGGTCTTACAATGAGGAAGGACAAACGTCAAACCACAATGATGAAAACCTCAAAACTCATGAATTCCAAGAAGTCCATAATAGAAGAAGTAAAAAGAAGCAAGCTATGCCAAGGACCATCAAAACCAGAAGCTATGATCCTAATCTCGAAGTAGGGACTGTGAGCGAGATCACGAGATACTGGCCTAGTCGCAAATCTACTACTATGGAGAAAATAGTTACTACCCAAAGTTATTCTGGACCCTTTTGGTACGTTGGGCCCGTTGGTCCAATTGGCACTGATGGGAAAAGACCGAAGAAAATAATGCCCAGAAATCTCTCCCTCGATCAACACCCGGGTTTTATAATCTGGGAATGATCTTTTTCATTTTGATTTCATTCAATTTCCCTTTTTCAATCGTTTTTCCTTTCTTGCAATTTTCAGAGGGGCATTGGCCTAGTCCTCCCTTCTTTGTACTTTTCTTTATTTTGCAATTTAATAAAATACATCCTTTCAATAAATATAAATATAAATATAAATATAAATATAAATATAAATATAAATAAATAAATAAATAAATATATATATATATATATATATATATATATATAACTCCACTTGTATGGGAGGAACAATCCCAAGAATCATTCGAAGAGGAAGTCATCAAATGCTTTCGACTTTGCTGCCCAAACAAAAAAGAGGTGTGTCCCAAGAAAGCCAACAAACCTTTGACAAAAAGCCAAAAGAAGAAAGCAAAGAAAAGACTAAAAAAGAGTATGGCAACAGATAATGAAGATGATGAGGATGATTTTCCTCTTTGATCAATTGCTGCTTTGGAGTAGCAGTTTTAGTGTTTCAGTTTTAGCTAACAGTTTCATGCAACCTCGTTCACAATCTAACTCAGCTTTCAACAAAATCTTGATCAACCAAGGCCATAGAACTTTAGTCTATTTCCCTTGTACACCCTCGGTATCCTTTGAACAGTGCTTTAGCAGATCCTTTGCTTTGTTTCATTGTCCCCCCTCATGTTTGTTCCCTTGTCAAACTGGCTGGGTATGGCTATCTTCAGAGAAGGGGATTTAATTTCATTATTATTAGAATTATTTGAACCTAGTCTGGTGAAGAGAAGTGTACAGATCTGCTGATTTTACAATTTACTATGACAAATAGGGCAAGATAAGCCTTAAACGCAGGTCAGGACCAGTCGCCTTAGCTCAAGCATTGGATAATCTACAGCCCTATTCTCTGGGCAGTGAAGGAATCTACAGCAGAATGTGTAAACCAGTAGGCTTTTTATTTGCATTTAACTCCAAGAGAATATTGACAAACAAAGTGTGGGTGTCAAGTAGCCTGCTCTTTACTCCTTGTCTTCTATTGCTTTGTTTCCTTCTTTTTTTAGTCCCTTTTACTTTTTTGCTTTGGCCTAAATGTTGGGGACGGCCACCCACTACTCTTGTACTTTTTCTTTCTTTTAATAAAACATTCTCTTTAATATATATATATATATATATATATATATATATATATATATAGGGGTGAGATCATGTGAGAAAGGCCCCTAGTGAAAGAAATAAGAATGATGGAGAGCCCTTGGATTTGGAGGAATGGATGGCTGTGATTGTTTAATCATTTATTAATTAATGGTGGGCTACACATGGTATGTTTAAAATTACGTATCTAAAAAAAGGGAAGCCGCATAAAAGGGGTATTTTTGGCATTAAAAAGTGCAGACGTCCACGCCCCAAAAAGGAATCCCGCCGAGTATTCCTATTTTGGTGCTGCTTTAGAGTACGAAACGCAGAGGCAATCTTCACAATCCAGTTGTAAGAGGCCTCTGCGAGTTTTACAATCCAATTCGAATTTTGGTGGCTATGGCGACGGAGAGGGGTGCTACGACAGAGAAAGACGTTGGCGATCAGAGTCTCACACCATTGACATCGACTGAAGAAACAGGTAATGTTTTATATTTAATTTTTTGAGAAATCGAAGCTATTGGAATATTCTGAATTGAAAAAGTGATTGCATGTCTTCGGGTAGGGTTTCGGATGTGTTTGCTGCGTTTCTGAAATTTGTTGCACAAAATTTAATTTTTGTGCGTTTATTTTGGAATGTGGGGGAGTGGGTGCAAACAAATTGTGGATTCTTTGTCTGTTTTTTATAATTTTGTTTTCTTTTTGGGTTTTGGGTGTAGAAGGGGTAGATGTAAACGTCATCAGTGGATTTAGTGTCTATATGATGCACTTTTAGGGTTTTGTTGTGCTTGATTGTGGTATTTGTGTGCTTAAGTGGTGGATAGGGTTCGAATTGAATTTAAAGTAAATGACTTTAAAATTTTTCAGAAAGAAAGTTTGGGTTTTTTTAAAGATTGTTTACTTGATTTTGAGTTTTTAATGGTATATAGCCTTGTTTAGCTGCATTGCTGTGTTTGTAAGCACTTTGGAGTGTTTTTGAAGCAGAGTCTCTGTCATATTAAATCTTTAAATCAAGATTCCATCAGGTAATAGTATGAATGGTTTGGGGTAAGAGAAGCATTTACATTGTATTATTGGATGAGCAATGAATGTGTTCTAAAATGCAATTAACATTCATAATGCATGATGGTTATTTTGATGCTTGTGGTCTGTTTTTTTGGGGCTTAGCATTGATATAATAGGGGTTTGCTGTTTGAATAATGCAATACAAATTCTATGCATTGTCTTTGGTGGCTTGTGCATTTGTTTATTCTATTTAAGCATGGTAGTGCATGTTCCATGAAGTAATGGTTTTCTTAATAACATGATTTAAAGTTTGGGTTTTTTAAAGATTTTTTACTTGATTTTGAGTTTTTAATGGTATATAGCCTTGTTTAGCTGCATTGCTGTGTTTGTAAGCACTTTGGAGTGTTTTTGAAGCAGAGTCTCTGTAATATTAAATCTTTAAATCAAGATTCCATCAGGTAATAGTATGAATGGTTTGGGGTAAGAGAAGCATTTACATTGTATTATTGGATGAGCAATGAATGTGTTCTAAAATGCAATTAACATTCATAATGCATGATGGTTATTTTGATGCTTGTGTACTGTTTTTTGGGGCTTAGCATTGATATAATAGGGGTTTGCTGTTTGAATAATGCAATACAAAATCTATGCATTATCTTTGGTGGCTTATGCATTTGTTTATTCTATTTAAGCATGGTAGTGCATGTTCCATGAAGTAATGGTTTTCTTAATAACATGATTTAAAGTTTGGGTTTTTTTAAAGATTGTTTACTTGATTTTGAGTTTTTAAAGGTATATAGCCTTGTTTAGCTGCATTGCTGTGTTTGTAAGCACTTTGGAGTGATTTTGAAACAGAGTCTCTGTAATGTATGTGAAAACATTGAAAAAAGTGTGGGTCCCTAATAGCATGAATAAATATCACAAGTTTGCATAACAAGTAAACAACAGTACATTACTAAACATTCTTATAGAATGAGTAAGGATCTTGTTAATATTGTTTAACGTGTTTCATGTGTTTGTGACTTTCACGGCAGTCCAGCACGTATTCCTCAAGAGATGTAAAAGGAATGTACTGAAGGCACAAGATAGCACTCCACGAAGGAGAAGCGGAAGGTTGCAGAGCGTTATGTTCAGGATGAGGAACAAGCTGCGTGGGGGACCTGAGAGAATTGATCTTGTTAGTCAAGAATCTAACCAAAGTGGGGGGTCTGCTGAAGTTGAAGGGCTTAGGGATGAAGCAGACAAAGGAATGACAGAGATCCCAAAAAATGCTGAGAATATGCAAGCTAGGCAGGTTGCAGATGATGCAGATGGGGTGAAAACAATGCAGCCCCATCAAGTATGGAGAGTGATGGTGACGCAGAGGGCACTGATGAGCAGGATGGGGATTATGGGGAGGATGGAGAAGGCATTGGTGAGGAGGAGGCAGATGATGATGGTGAAGAAGTCAGTGATGGTGATGGATTGGAAAGTGATGATGCACAGGGACCAGATGAGGATGAATCAGAAGATTGCGAGGGGGGAGAGGACAGAGATGAGGAAGAAATTGCTGGAGTGCAAGATGAATATAGTAGTGAGCAGGTTGCATCGGTGAAACGGACAACGCCATTAGCATTTGGTAAGAGTGTCCAACATTCACATGAAAGATCAAGTCAGCGTATTAAGCGGGGGAGGGAGAGATTACAAGTGAGGAAAAAAGGGAGGACTGGAAAGAAGAAATTGGCAGATATCAAGGCGCCGTATGGGTCCTTGAAGACAAGGTCGACACCCCATGTTTTAATGAACGCAATAGAGCGGATGAATGATGATCAACGTGCCGCTGTTGAAAGGATTGGGTTTGGGTCAGTTTTAAAGCTTGATATTTGGGAGTTGCCATCAAGGTTGGGACTCTGGGTCGTATCAAACTATGATGCTAGGAGCAGCTGTCTGAAACTTCCAGACAATACAAAGATGCACATAACTGCTGAGGATGTTAATACCGTCTTGGGGTGGCCAATTGGTGGAGAGCGCATTCAAAATAACAAACGTAATAAGGACAAGTTGTTGGTGAATGAGTGGAGGCTTAAGATTGATACTACGGGCATTAAGATCACCCCACATGATGTTGTGGAGAAGATGTTGCAATGCACAGATGGGGGGGAGTGGTTTGTGAGACATTTTGTGACACTTATTATGTCGGTACTTGTGGACAGCACATCACATGGTTATGTGAATGCCCTGGTGATGGACCATCTGAGAGCTGTGGGGAGAGTTCCTAAATTGAATTGGTGTCAATATGTTCTCGACAAGCTGATTGAGAACAAGCTAAGGTGGGAAAAGAAAAAGAAGCAGCTTTTCGGTGGTCCAGTGCTCTTTCTGATGGTATAATCTAGACTTGTGGTTATTCTGCATTTTTAAATTTCCATAATGCTTATTAATGATATTACTATGCAGGTGTTCTACGTTGATCGTGTTTCTGATTTCTCAAGAACAGTTCCTAGGACATATCCAGCAGTGTTGGCTTGGAGTGGAAAGGAACTGCGAAAGAGAGAGAACAATGAGGCCGTTGAAGGGGGATTTGGTTTAGGCCATGATGAAGGACGTATGAGTCGTGAGATGCGAGAGGAGGTGAATAGAGAGCTGATTGAGAGAGAAAGGAAGGCTACAGAGGAGAGGGATATTACAGAGCATGAAAATGTAATCATTGAAGATTCAAAAGAGGTAAAGTTTGTAATATATACTCAATGACAAGAATTGTTTTTTGTTATATCTAGTTAGGCCAATTTTAAACAGTTACGCGGTGATTTCCTTTTACATTTTATCTAGGTGCTTGTAAGGAAAATTGCGGACAAAAGCAAGATCCTGTCAAGCACAGTTATTGATCTACTAAAAATGATTCAGGATGCACCAAAGTCGTTTGGAAAGAATTTGATGTTTCGTAAGATGCGTAATGTGTGCCATAGAGTAATTGGCATAAATGTTGAGAAGAAAGAAAATTTTGAACAAGGTGTTGAGAATAACGATACAGACATGTTCGGGGATTCAGAATTCTAGAGCAGTCCTGAGCTTTTGGCAGCGGTTGATGAGGCGGAAAAGGAAGCAGAAATGCGGAAGAAGTATGAGGAATTTATAAATGATGTGCCTTCTTTCAGTCTAGGGATGACACAGGTTCTTGAAGAAGAAGGTGGGATGACACATGAGATGCAGAAGAGCAGTGAGGTGAATGAAGAGATGACGCCAGCAAACATCAGTCATGCTGATCCTCACAACACCCCGAACATGGCTGGTCCTATGGACACTGGGAACATAGAACTTGAGCAGAACAAAGATATAGAGCAGAGTGAAGGGATGATTGGTGCAGAATGTGATGCAGTGCAGAACAATGAAGATTTGAACAATGAGGTATCACAAAGTTTTTGTACACATTGCGTATATACGTTACATGATTGCACCTATTTTGATGAACTTGTTGTCTGGGTTTCATTCTAGATGGAGGAGACTAATGAAGAGAGAAGAGATGAAAGAGGAGGTGGGCTGAAAAGGGAATTTGATGAGGTATGCTAATTGGTTATTGAATAGATGACTTAAATATGTTCGGCAAGTTGTTAATTTTGATTTGAACAGGATGTGCAATACGCAAGAAATGAAAGGGCAAGAAGAAAGACCAAGAAATCTTTGACGTTGAAGTCACCTTACCTGACACGGGTGATTGATCCAAGAGATAATGTGAACACATTTGAGAAGAATCTTTGGAAGTGGGTTGTAAGAAAGCATGATGCTGACAGGTTAATGCTTTAACTATGGTTAAACAGTGCATCATATTAGGAGATTTAAAGTAACATTCTTGAACTTGGTACTGTCAACTTATGCAGGAATCACATTGTGTTCAGTGGGTATAATATATCGGTTGAACGTGGAGAGATTCGACTGCTGTATTCGATTATGGTGTGATTACAATGCGGCACATGGAGACGTACACAGGGCAGGCTTTGAAGCAGTGGGAATGTGGCTTGAAAAAGGGGGATGAGAGGGCGGTGAATGCACTTCGTACAAAGTATTGTGCTGCGATAGTCGAATCAGATATCAACGAGGTTAAGGACAAGATAAGGCAGCTGGTGAAGCACTCGAGTGGTTGAAGACTACATGACTTGATTACAAATTCATGTTTCTGATGCACGACTTTTTCATGGGGATTATGATCTATTCTGTTTTTTTTCTAGAATTGTCAATTTCGTATCCTTTTGAGATTTGGTTTCATGGAGCAACCCTTGAGTGAGTCGTTGCTGGCTTGTTCGTTTTGCTAGTTGGGGTTGCATTATTGCTCAGTATGAACATAGATAGACATCTTTTTTTGGTATTTATGAAGAATTTGAGTATTGACTTAATTGGACGTCAATTTGTTGTGTGAATCCGTTTCTTTGCATTGAAATTTTACGTAATGTTAGGGAGGGGATTATGATTTTAACTGGTGAATGTTTTTCGATTGGAAAGTGTTTAGTGCAGAATTTGATGCTGCATTTTGTTTTATTGGTGCGTCCTGAATTTGTTTTAGTGCAAGCCAGTAGCTGTTTGGTGACAGGTACTGTTTTTGGAAATGGCGATTTCTGTGAAACGTATTGCAAGTTGGGTGAATAAGTAAGAGGCGTTCCAAGTAGTCGATCTGTTGGGACTCGTTTGGTGCAGGAATTGTTACGGGTGTTTTGTTATTGGTGCGTGACGGAAATGGATTTAGTTCAATGTATATTTTGTTTAATGGGGGTCCACACATGTTTAGAGCCATCAATGTATGTTCCATAGAATGAGAAGTGTGTGTGGCAATATTGTATCAAAACTGTAGATTTAGATGTAGTGCAAATACAAAAAGTGTGTGCATTGATGATTTTGTAATTACTATATTAATCAAAATTGCAATAATACACAAGTCATGGGCAAACAAATGGCATGTGACGTTATAAAGAACGATGAAAACATTACAAAAACTTATAAGATGTGTGTAGGAAGATGATTTAATTATGCCGAAGAATTCATCGGACAATTCCTACTGTCGTGATACCCTAGCTCTTTGCAAGTTCGACACATGCGTTTGTTCTTCTTGCTTTGCTCAATTTGGATCTCTTTAGCACTCTTGATGCGCTTACCACTGCCCTTGTTGTGCGCGGGTTGAGGTGGAAGCACTTTTATCTCTGACGGAGCAGGCACCCCATAGTAATTTTCAAAGATATTAGGTACTCCAGTATCAACGTCATGAGAGGCAATAGCCGATTCAATAAGTTCCTTTTGTTCAGAGATTACCTTGAAGAAAGCAGATAATAAGTCAGAATTGTTTTCAATTAGAGCAACACAGGAGTGAATGTTAGACCATAAGCGGTTCAGCATTAATTTGTTTTCGTCAAGGGATGATTCCGATGCGAAGTCCAGACCAGAAACTTCAATCATTGGCTTTAGGAGTGGTGATTTGCACCACCTATTTGTGATATAACGTTCTGGAATCATCTTAATTTTCAAGACCTTGAATAGCAAAAATATGTGTCTACACAGTAGACCAATGCGCTGCCAGTATTTGCATGTGCAGGAGAAAGAGTCGTCTAAGGTGGAGTGTTCAACGTTGAAAACCATACCTCGGGAATCCTGCACAACATATAATAACGTATGCTCCTTCTTGTCAACTTGCAGCACACTACACGAGAAGCATGATGCGCATATCTCTGATTGTACTTCGTAGAAGATGGTCAAAGTGTAGACAGATGATGCATGTTTCTCAATGGCAAGCGGAGTTCTGTAAACAAGGATACACGCTTCTGAGTCTGAATCCAAGTCTGCAGTTTTATGCCGTTGAGAGTCCATAGCACTTTCAAATTGCATATAAAACTCGACAAGCGTGAAGTACTTATTTTTGAAGTCACCAAAAAAACTATTCTCGCTCTCAGAACGTGATGTTGTGCGTAGTAATCCAATCATGAAAAAATCTCTAAAGTATGCAAGAATCCAGCTTGTACGAATAGCAAATAGATTATAAAACCATGAATCAGATTCGAGCTCATAGTCAACTAGTACCTCATGCCATTGTTTTTCCCACTCTTTGGGCTCAAGGTAATGATTCCATATCACAGAATTAAGCCTTGTCAAGAAGCCCTGACCTTTGGCTAGTTCATTATCAACTTTGGCCGTAATCTTGTTCGTAATATGCCACATACAGAGACGATGAATTGTCTTTGGGAATACTTCTGGAATAGCAATAGCCATAGAAGCATCTTGGTCCGTGATTATGCATTTCGGGGCATGACCCATTGCGTCAAGGAAGCGATTGAACAACCACGTGTATGAAGGAACATCTTCTCTGCGCAGCAGACCAGCTGCAAAAGTAACACACCTGCGGTGGTTGTCTACACTGGTGAATGGCGTAAAAACCATTTTGTACCTGCACCACAGGTAACACACCATCACTAAAGTAAGTTCAAACATTGAAAACGCATGTTTAGAGCGTTACGTAAATATGATTATGCAGTATAGATTACAAAAAATGCGAAATAGTAAGAATATGTAAGAACAGAAGGTGTGAAACGCATATTGACAGGGATAGTTTAACAGTATTATACTTATTCTTATAGGCATAACAGAAGGCATTAGAGAATATACCTATTTGTGTTGAAGGTTGCGTCAAACGAAATGACGTCTCCAAACATTGCAAACTTCTTCCCAGCGATAGGATCGCACCAAAATACCCTGGTTAGCTGGTCACTCTCATCAACATCATAATCAAAGTGGAATGCAGAGCATGTTTGTTTCTTTCTGAATAGTTTGTCAATGAGCATTTGAGCATCAGCGCCTGCAATGTATGCCTTCAAGTCCCGTTTGAAATTTTTGAAGTCAACGGCAGTGGCACCCACATTATCGTAGCCCCCAACTGATTCCTTAAACAATCTATATGACTTCATTGGCCCAATGTTCGCCTTTGCACAATTCAACATAAACTTCTTATGGCCAATTTCTAAGTTTCTGTTGACTTTCAGAAAGGGTCTAGATGGAATGGACAGCATTGGATGGTTATGCGTTTCTATGAATGACAATATGGTGTACCCTACACCAGCCACGAGCCTAAACGCCACACGCGCCTTGCAATCAACACGATTTGAAATGCGTCTCCTCTGTTTTGCCTTTGGCACTCCATCATCGTGAGTGTGTTTGTTAACAATTGGTGCAAAATGTTTATGACCCTCACGATTGCATACAACGTACCGCCAAACAACAACACCTGAAACCTTCAAATTAGTGCTTTTGCGGATATCAAAACCTGCCAGTGAGGCATATTGCTTGTAAAAATTTAATCCGTCCTCCAAGGATTTGAACACCATTCCCATTTTAGGCTTGGACTCTTCAGGGCAAGGAGGAATAAATAAGTTGGATGAAGAAGAAATAATTTCTGTTGTATGGGGTGTGTCTTCATTTGGAGAAGTAGATGTGTGCACTGCCGATAGAGAGATAAACGTGTTGATTAATGCACTACATATATCTGATTATGCAATACAGGATGCAAAACAATGCGAAATAAAGTAACATATATGAAATATATAAGCACAAAGGGTTTGCAACATCATGGAGCATGAATTCATGAAGTGTTTGAAATTGACCAAAAACATAATGAAAAGAAACCACAAACATACGAAGACCATGACTATGCAATACAGTACACGGAATAGTGCTCCAAAAAAACAAATAATATCAAATAATTGGAGAATAATAAGAGAAGCATTCATGAGACCAAATCAGTGGATAATATTTAATGCAGTAAGCAGACATGAAGGTGCAATACTCATTGCATAAAATGCGTAATAGAAATAAAAATAAAAAGATTAAGGTGTAAAAAATTGAGTAAACTTTCATGAAGCTGTGAGAATTGCCAGGGAATGAATGAAAAGGAGAACACCAAACAGCAAAATTCAAAACAACACAAATGTTTACATGTAATTTCACCGCGAATGCAGAGGCATTCGTGAAGTCAACACAAATGTTTACATCAATCCTACGAACTCGAGCAGGCGTGCAAAATTTCCAGACGACATTTGCATAATTCTAAAATAACAAAACCAAAAAAAAATAAAACACACCTGGAACCATGATAAAGAATCGATGAAGCAGCTGGAATCCCAAAATCGGACGATTGAGAGGTTTGTAAAACTAAGAGGTTGATAAATAACGGAATTCATATATGCGGAACCGATATGGAGAAATGGGGAAAGTGAATCCGATCGTGAGCGAGAAATCAGGGATGAGGATGTTTAACGATGTTTAGCGTTTATCACTGTGACCGTAAAAAGACCCATATGCCCTGGCGATCAGATTAAGATCTGATTAGATCGGATGGTTTATATTCATTCTTATTTCTTTCATTAGATCTCTTTCTCACCGGAACCAAACCCTATTTATATATATATATATATATATATATATATATATATATATGTATGTATGTATGTATGTATGTATGTATGTATATATATATATATTTAAATCTAAAAAACTTAAAGCCAATAAGCACGAAAGCTACTCCCAAATAAAAGAAAGTATCCTCCATAGTGATAAGGAAGAATGCACAACATATGATAAGGAAGTATCCTCCATAGTGTCTACTGATGGGTGCAACTGAAATGTTCTCTACAGCTACTATCTCTAGCCAAGCCTCTGAGCCTTCGAAAAATATGCTAACAGGCATTCGGCGTACAACGAATACATCGAGTATAGATGAAAGTCTCACTCAATCAAGAATGGACCAAACCTCTTGCCTCAAGGTACGGAACTTGAAGACTGCTGACTGCCTCAATGAGAGTCTAAGGATACATCTTGACAAGCTACCTCAACAGCCCAACCATTTTGGAGTTTTAAATGCTCATGCTTTACCTTTCCAACCAGCCACCCAGCTTCGTGCAAAATCTTTGAAGGAATTACAAATGGAGGCAAAGAGTGGTAAGCAAAATGTCGAAGAGCAAATAAAACCTCCCCTAACTCTCTTGGAATTGAATATGATTTATGAACGATCTAAACCAATCAGCCTCATTGATATGCCCATGGATCTGAATGCAAAGGATGGTGAGGAAGAGGGAAATGAAAAAGATTATGAACAGAAGATTGAAAACTATAATGATGTGCTGGAATATGTGGATGAGGAAGTTCTTGTCAAAGGAAAAAAAGGCAAAGGGAACAAGAAAGAAAAGAACAACAATGGGCAGAATTCTACTCATAGCCACGGAAACTATCAAAAACCTTCAACATGGGGGAGAAGAAGAAAAAAATGATTCTTCATGACTTTGATTGCTGGTGTTTTGCTGCTACACTGTCTACTAAGGGATATTCCTTCGATTTTCTTGAGGTTGTTTTACTGATGTTTGAACAACTAGGAGTATCAACTACTGTTTTGGATGCTTATAGGCTTAGATTTCATGTGATAGTTGATCTTTCTAAGGAACCACAATACTCGTTTGTTGTTCTCTAAGGTTTTTGGTCATTTTTCTGAATACTTGTTTGTGCTTCCTTTAGGTTTTTGGTCTTTTATTTGGGAGTAGCTTTCGTTCTTATTGGCTTTAAGTTATATATATATATATATATATATATATATATATATATATATACACACATATATATATATATATATATATATATACATATATATATATATATAGGGGCCGGTTCCCGTGAGAATGCACCTTGTGGAGAGAAATAAGAATAAAATCTAGCCGTCAGATCTGATGCATCGTGCGGCTCAGATTGCATCCTGCGCTCTGATTTTGAGATAGTGCATTTTCGATGGTTTATGGTGCATTTTGACGTGATGCATTTTCGAACCATTTTGGTGCATCTAATTTTGATGAAATCTTGACTCTTAGATCTCACAATCTAAAGCACCAGATTCATTCTCATTTCTCTCCTAAGATTGCATTCTCACCAGAACCAAAATCTATATATATATATATATATATATATATATATATATATATATATATATATATTTATATATATATATATTTATATATCCTCTCTCTCTACCATTCCCGATCTTCCACATTCATTCAGCAAAGCCAAGCAAAGTGATGGCTGGGCACGTGGCACATGTTGTGTACAAGGGTCCAAGTGTGGTGAAGGAAATTATCATTGGGATTAGCCTCGGGCTTGTTGCGGGAGGCTTCTGGAAAATGCACCACTGGAACACTTAGAGGAGAACAAAGGAGTTCTATGACAGCTTGAGAAGGGTCAGATAAGTGTTGTCCACGATGAGGAATAGATGCAGCGTCCGGCCTCCAATTTTTACACACGAATAATCTCCGGAGTCTACTATAATCTTTATGCTAGTAAAGATTCTAATAGTATATTTAATATAAAGATTTAAGAGGGATAATATTAATCTTGTATATTAAATAGTAGAAAATATATATCAATAATATTTTAAAGAAAATATTATATCAATTTTCTACATAAAATATTAATATTTGGGAACTCAAATATTTTCTCTTTCCTCTCTTTGCTTGGCCGAAGTTCACCCTCCAAAAAGGGAGAGAAGATAGCATTTTATAAATCAAAATGAATAATGCAAAAACATATACATTTGCAAAAGGCCAAAAGGACACACATTATGAAATGTAGTGGGAGACACAAGTCCCCACACATAATTCCATACATCCATTTACGAAACTAAGGGGGAAGAATTTAAAATTCTTTCTCCTCTCAAATGTTTAAAGTGTATTTTATTTAACATCAATAATTTTTATGATATAAAATAAAATACCCAAAACATTTTAAAACAAGTATATAAAATATACTTTAAAATAGTTTTTGTCAAAATAATTATTTTCATAATTAAAATGACACTCCAAAATAAAATGTACACAATATAATATATAATGTAATATATATATATATATATACATATATGTACACGTTATAAGTATATTACAAATATATGTACCCACGCACATTATATATGTATACTTATATATATGTGTGTGCCGTGTACAAAGTATACACATGCATATATATTATATTAAACATTTTACTTTAATATTTTACAATATACAAATTATATATTATCCCTTCTTATAATCCTACTCTTTAAATTGTCCAAAGTGTGTGACCCATATAGGCACTTATAAAACTTGCCACAGTATTGACTCTACACCAATACTATAAGTAATAAGCGGTATCTAGCAACACATTATTAATCCCAGATTATAAGTTGAGACGTTTGCTCCGTCAAAACCTTTCTACGACTAAGACTTTGTATAACGTAGATCCTTTTGTCCCAATGTCTTAACTTAGTGCAAGAGATATAAAATATCCAACTTGTAGCCATTAAGTTATTTACTGATTAACAAGTCTGACTGATGAGAACAGATGTCTAAACTCATCTCAGCATGGCCATGCATTTCTTCAGTCATACTTATCAGTGGGCCCCTACAAGACATTATTCTGCTTGAGTAGCAGTGACAAATTCTTTGTACGTAATCTACGTCTTCGAATACGTGCAGCGGCATGCCCAATACAAAGCCTGTGTACCATCCTTATTTCATACGGCTTAGGACAATGAATCAAAGCATGCGGGTTCACACATTCAAAGAACGTAATACTTCAAGTCTGAGGATCGTTATACCAATAGTCGCATTAAGGACACTTAGAGCATAAACTAAAAGTCTAGGCAATGCCCTTAAGGTGGGTCAGGTCTGGCATCCTATTATTAACGATAATATCTACCCGAGAGTATATGCGAACACTCCGTCATTGACCAAGAGACTAGGTCAAACATCTAACTCTCACTAGTCTCACGTGCATTAACGATATCCTGCTCTCGTTAATGCTTCGACTATAGACCGTTCAGAATTTTACTAAGTGATAAGATGTCAGTCTCAACATCAGAAGACTCATTCTGATAAACATCTTATAATATAATTCTAGGAATGCAATTAAGAGTTCACATTAGCATGAGATGTTTGTAAACTAATTACATCTGCCTTTACATGATAGAAAATATCTAAGATATTACAACAGCAGTTGGCCATAAGGGCACCAACTCCAACAATGGCTACCCCAATGAGCACCTCCGAACACTTGGAAAAAGATGAAAAGGGTAAGGAGGTAGACGTAAAGAAGTATCGAGGTATGATCGGATCTCTTCTTTATCTTACCGCTAGTAGACCCGATATCATGTTTAGCGTTTGTTTATGTGCAATGTATCAATCTTGTCCGAAAGAATCGCACTTAACGGTGGTGAAACGGATAATGAATTATCTTGTTGGAACAATGAACGTTGGACTATGGTACCCCAAAGGGTCTCCTTGTCATCTTTTTGGCTATTCCGATTCAGACTTTTCCGGTTGTAGATTAGACCATAAAAGCACGAGTGGGACATGTCACTTGCTTGGTAGCTTGTTAGTTTCATGGTTTAGTCAGAAACAAGTCAGTGTTGCGTTATCCACAACCGAAGCGGAATATGTTGCCGCCGGTAGTTGTTGTGCTCAAATCCTTTGGATGAAGCAACAACTACTAGATTATGGCCTTAGTATCGATCATGTTCCTCTTCAATGTGATAATACTAGCGCCATAAGTTTGACGAAGAATCCGGTTCTTCACTCAAGGACGAAACATATTGACATTAGGCATCATTTCATTAGAGATCATTTTCTCAAAGGTGATGTCGAAATTGAGTTTGTTGAAAAACACAATCAATTGGTTGACATTTTCACAAAACCTTTAGTGAAAGAGTCATTCTTCCGCATTCGTAGTGAACTCAGAATTCTTGTCTCAACGATGATCTAATTTGTGCATTAATTTTTTTTGGTCATTACTAACTTGAACGTCGGAGACATTTTTAAGTCTTCTTTGCAGGGCTCGTTTTTTTTACTTTAATTTCAGGTGTCAAAGTAAGGGGGAACAAAGAAAATCAATTTCTGACTTCTGGACAAGGTGTAAATCGATTGAGAGAGTTGTGATAATCGACTATCACAGCCCGCGGAAGTTTGGAGCAAATCAGCCGCAAACCCAAACAATCGATTACTCAAGTGTTGATAATCGATTATTAAGGGCCGCTGAACCTTCTCAGCCTTCAAGAGAAAACCTCTGTCAATCGACTATCACAAATATGATAATCGATTAACCAGATTTGCAGATTATTCAGACAGGTATCAGAGGAGCCAAACAATCGATTGACAGGTTTTGTCAATCGACTTAGAACGGTAGATTTTAAAAAATCTGACCGTTTTCAGAATCGTTTGTAGTGCATTTATCACCTTTTTGACTGCTCCAACGGACGCAAGCCTCCTCCACTATATATTGGTGATCTCCATTCATTTTATACTCACTCAAATCATACTTTCTTTACATATTCATCATACTTCATCATTTTCTTGCTATTGCTCTTCATTTTTTAGACAAATTTCTGCAAATTTTTCCTATTTCTCTCCCTCTCTTTTATTGAAATGGCAGGCGGCCAAAGAAAGAGATCGCGCACCGGGAAGAACGTCGCTTCCTCCTCGGCTCCTCCACCGCCACCGGCACACAAGTACCCCGATGGGTCGTTCCTATGGTTCAACGACCGCGTAGAGGCGACTCGTTTTGCCAAGAAGTTTGAGCACTGGGAAATTCTTCCTCCCCGGTTTTCCACCACCTGTTTCATCCATGGGTCCATTCCACAAGAGGCACGGGTTATCCTCGAACGTGGAAACGTCCTTGACCTCCTCTACATCAAAAAGGGTCACTATCAACCCTTTCTCGTTCGAGCATTCTACTCGAAATTGATAAAGGATGAGGACGGCGCATTGATCTCAAACGTCCACGGGAAGGAGATATATTTGAATGAGGATAACATTAAAATACTCACCGGGCTTCGCCGGCAAGGAGAGGATCTCGGCCTCTACGTCGGAGAAGGAGGGGCACGGTTCAATGAGACCGCCCTCTTGGAGGAAGTGGGAATCCGAAACTTCGTCCCCACTCCCCAATTGCGCCGTCCCACGATTACTTCCATGAGTCCCGTGTTTCGATTCATATTCTATGTATTGACACGGCTTCTCAAAACACGGATGTTCAATCACACCGCTCTCTCCCAAGAGGACACAAAGACGCTCCATGCGATGATTCACAACGCCAACATTAATAATTGGTGTAAATTTGTGATGACTCACATGTGTAGCACTACCTTTGACAACCGGCCACTTCCCTACGCCCTTCAGGTCATGGCGATACTTGAGGAATTCCACGTCAAGACCGACGTTGGGCCGAAGCAAAAAGGGACGAAGCATTGGGAGATTGATGAATCTTCCTTCCACCCGAGAACCGATGAATCTCCGTTCCCGCAGCCTCGTCCATGCCGCCAACCAAGGGCAACCGCTTCAAACAACCCATCTCTAGCCGCGCAAATGGCCGCCTTGACCGCCACCCTTTCCCGGATTGACACCAACGTCTCCGAAACAGCCCAAAACTTCAACATCTTGAGCCGTGAGCTTCACGGGTATTTTGACTTTGTCAACTACCCTTACGCTCAAATGGTCCCCTACGTTCCTCCTCCAAACTTCGGGGGTGAACCAAGGGGGACAAATGACATTGGTGGTACGTGAAGAAGAGGACAACGTTGAAGATGAAGAAGAAGAGGAAGAAGAAGCCGAAGAAAAAGAAGACGAAGAAGAATAAGAAGAAGACAAAGAAGAAGAAGAAGACGAAGAATAATAAGAGGAAGAGGAAGACATCGACAAAGACCAACTCCTCGATGATCTTTCCCTGGATTTCTAGAGATCTAGCTCTTTTCTCCTTTTCTCTTCCTATTTTATGTTTTTTTAAAATTGCTTCCGTTATGTGTACTCCGCCTTTTTCCTTATTTAATAAAATAAAAATCTTTATGGTTTTTTAAATCTTTTTGTTAATGTCAAAAGGGGGAAGATAAGGGCTATGCGCATATTAAGGCGGAATTTTTTAAGGGGGATTTGTTTTCAAAAATATCAAAACCCTATGCATATCCCCGTCTTGTTTGCCATTATCAAAAAGGGGGAAATTGTTGGAACACACTTTTTATTGTGTTAAACTAAAGTCATGTTCATTTCTGACAGGTTTTGATAATTGCCAAACCGCCGTGGATATGAAGAGTTTTCGTTGAACAACTCAAGGTGTGAAGAATGGCACAGAACAAGACCAAAAGACTCAAGGACAAGATCAAGAATTGAAGACTTAGTCAAGTCGGTCTTAGGGGCTGTTTGGCAACTTCTGAATAGGTAAATGCTGAACCAGTAAGAGGTCTGAACCATTAAGTGCTGAACCAGTAAGAGGTGTGAGCCATTAAGAGCTAGTATATTGCTTAACTATTCAGAGGCAAATGTCTGATCAATTCAGATAAGAGGTCTTAACCATTCAGACTCTGTATAATACTTAACCATTCAGAGGCAAATGTCTGAACCATTCAGAAATCTGCCCACGAAACAAACAGTCTGAACCATTAAGTGCTGAACCATTCAGACATCTGAACCATTAAGAGGCTGAAACAAACAGCTCTTAGTGTGATCAAAACCAACAATCAATTCAAGTCTCGGTTCTCAAAGAGTCAAAATAATTTTTACAAAATCATAAAATATTTTTATGCATCAAAATAAACATTTTTTTAATAAAGGTTTTAAAGTATTTAAATCCCTGGTCCTTGCCAAGACCAAAACCACTTCAGTCGGCATTCGGCATCCGGCTCCAAACAAACTCGGTGGTTTTTGGTATTTTAAACCTCGTCTTACATCTGGGCATATTTTAAAAGGTTCCCAATTAATTATTTTATAAAAACCACTTTTGTATCTTGGTCTTTCGGTCTAACATGTGAAAAACGGTCAAAATCGTACACACGTGAAAAACGACCTCAAAGACTTGGTTTTTAATAAACAAGTCTTGATTTTACTATTTTATACCATATACAATGTTTTTCAAACTCGGTTTTTAATTTTGGGAACACTTCGTTTTTGGACCTTGGTTTTTCAAATTGGGTTTTCGCCAGCTGGGTGATAATCAATTATCACTTTAGTGACAATCGACTATCAGCCCCTACAGCTTTGAACTCTAAGTTCCGAAGCATGCAATAATCGATTGTCACTTCTGTAACAATCGATTATCAAGGTCTGTAGCCAAAACCCAGAAACTTCTAAGAGGACCAATAGTTGATTATCAGTTTCAGACAATCGATTATCTAAGTTACTGTTGTCCTCCAATGGATAGAATTTTAAATTTTTGGACAAAGAATATTTTGACAATCAATTATCATGGTTTGAAAATCGATTATCACTCTGGAACTCTGAAATTTTTGTCCTGATCCTGTTGGAAATTTTGCACCGGGTTTATCCCATTTTAGGCTGTAAAATGGCACCCAAATCCTCTCATTTTATATAAAAATCTTAAACATTTCAATACTCTCTCATTGCATTAGCATTCCTATTTTTCTTAGCTATTTGAGAGCCAATTCTCGAAGAAATTGTCGTGTTCTTGAGCGTTTACTAGTTCACTCATATCTACTCTTTGTGAGAGTTTTATTCCTGAGTTTTTAAGTGTTTTTACACACTTGAAGGGAGGTTGTTCCCTTGTTGTAAACTCGAAGGAAGTCTTTGTTCCTTCGTGAGAAGTCTTGGAGTGCGGTATCTCCGAGCAAAGGCCTTGAAGCTCGTGTGACTCGGGTTCTCAAGTTGTATCAGTTTGTTAAGCACCTTTAAGCTTAACGGAGTTAGTGTAGCTCGATAGAGTCTCTCGCGAGGTTAGATTAGCCACACGTGGTGGTGAACTATGATAAAATTTGGTGTGCTCCTTCCTTACGTTCTTTACTTTATTGCTCTCGTTTTTAATTTCTTGCAATTTTGTTTTAAAGGCTATTCACCCCCCCCCCTCTAGCGTTGGGCGTATATTCTAACACAATCTCCACAGGCTAACGCACAAAAGAAACCTTACTATTTCTTCTACTTTGACGAAAAGAAAAAAGTCCATATTCCGTTACCAGAACCCACACAAATCACACCAAGATATCGGCACTCCGTTCAGGTAGATTGGAACTCGCCGACCACGAGACAGCCAAGGTAACTCCTAAACAATCATCCAATTGTTTGTGTGCGTGTGTGTGCGTGCGTATGGAAATGAACTTTGGGTGTGTGTGTGGGCAATAAAAGTTAACTAACCCCCAAGGACCCATAGACATATTTTGGGTACCAAAGTGTTGCTTTGTAGGTAAGCAACAAACACAAAAATCAGGGGGAACCATGCCAACATTGCTGTCTAGAAGGGCATGTCTCGAAGTGAGGAACTCAGGGGGAACCAGCGATTGGTGGTTGATCCCATCGTTGGGAAGCAAGTATTTTATAACCAGCAGCCTCCCTCCCATCGATAGGAACTTCTTCACATCGATGGATGTTTGACACTTGTTCTTTTTAAAATTTTTAACGGATTTCTAGTACCCCTTACCCCGCGATGGGGTTTTCTGCATGAAGGCTGCCTTCTTTTTTTCCTCCCTTCTCTAATAGTTGTCCTCCCATCGATGGGTAGATAGGTACATCACTCGGAAGCCTGCTATGGTTCAAAAAAATATATATATATATATAATAAAATATCTCCCGAAGAGGAAGATTTCGAAGATGCGGTCAACAGTGATCCCATAGACGTCGAGGATGACAAAGATGATGACGACGACGAGGACGCCGAATCCTAGATCTCTTCTTTTTTTCCTTTTTTAATATGCTTGTATTTAAATTTTCTATTCGTTGTATTCTGCATTTCCCTTTAAATGAATAAAACTTTACTTTTAATTCTTTTTGTTAATGTCAAAAGGGGGAAGATATAAAGGTTATGCATAAATTGAGGGGGAATGTTTTCCAAAACTTTTCTAAGGCAAGAGTGTTTAAAATATAACTCTTGTTCAACACATAAACCTTGTTGAAAATAAAATTGCATTTATTAAGGGAGAATATTTTTTCTCAAAACAATCCTCTGATGCATAACCTCGTCTTGTTTGCCATTATCAAAAAGGGGGGAATTGTTGAAACACGAGTTTACCACTTCATTGTACTAAAGCTGTGTTCTTTTTCATGACAGGTTTTGATAATGCCAAACCGCCGTGAACAAGACAAGTTGTTGAATATACAAGGCGGAAATAAAGATGAGAAGAAAGCAAGAGAACAAGAGCTAAAAAGACCAAGAACGAAGACCGTAGTCTTTAGTGTCGTTGAGTTGGTCACAATGTGATCAAGACCGACCCAAGCATTACACTTTGGCAATTTAGGCTAAAACATCTTTTATTGCATTTCACATATCATCAAAATGATTTTAAAACTTGTTTAAACATATTAAAAACACTTGGTGTTTAAACATATTAAAAACACTTGGTGTTTGCCCAAACCAAAAACTAAGTGATCCGGCATGCGGCATTCGGTTATCGGCATTGGTTTTTGGCGTCCGAACCAACCAAGTGTTTTTAAACATCTGTGATTGTTTTTTACTTCTGGGCACATTTAAATAGTTCTCCAACAAAAACAGTTTAAAAACCATCTTTCGTTTTTGGTCGTTTGGTAAAAACCATGCGAAACGACATAAACTTGGCTAGCCGTGGTTTTTACCATAATGAAGTGGTTTTTAAGCTTTTGTACTAGGTTTCTACATAAAATACATTATATAAGAGTTTCAAACACTTGGTTTTTATTTTTGAGAGCTTCACATTTTTCATTTGGGTTTCAGCACCGGTCGGCTAGGCCATGGTTCAGGCAAAAACCATAAGTTTATCCACAAGCCATCAACCCAGCGATGGGAGATATTACCCATTGATGGGTAAGTGATCCTGGATTCCAGAACCATACCACCCAGCGATGGGAGATATTACCCATCGATGGGTAAGTGATCCTTTATCTCAGCTGGATTCCAGAACCATGCCACACAGCAATGAAGAGTTCCACCCATCGCTATACAAGCCTTGGTTCAACATTAACACAAGGCAGAATGCCCCTACCCAGCGATGAGGTCTTGTACACATCGCTGGTCACCCAGCGATGGGAGGATATACCCATCGATGGGTAGGCATGACCGTTGTAAGGAATTTAAGCCTGCTTCTTTCCTTGTTTGAAAGTCAACCTCCCACCCAGCGATGGGAAGTTCTTACCACTACAAGAAAAACCACTTTTAATTACGGATTAGTTATGACGGGTAAGACATACTCTCATTAAATGTATCATTTACATATTTTTTATGACGGGAGAAATACTGTAACTAAACATTTTTGTTTTTTTTCCATCATCTCTGATGGAGCCAAAATTTCACCATTTTTTGGCTTTGGGGTGTGATGGAATAAATCAAAATGGATCTCTAAACTGTCTGCGCTTCTTTAATAAATAAAGTAGCAGTTAGTCAAGCAATGCAACTTTCGACGTTGAGCCGGGGACTCTTTGGAAACAGCCTCTCTACTTTCGAGTAGGGGTAAGGTCTGCGTACACACACCCTCCCCAGACCCTACTCTTGTGAGATTTAACTTGTTTCTATTGTTGTTGTAAACATTTTTGTTTATTTGACCAATTGTTTTTCTATTTATTTTTATTAATTAAATACTCTCATTATAAATATCTAAACCATTAATCCCCTTAATATTAGTTTAAAATATATTCTAATTCCCACTTATTCCAAATTAAAATAAACCTCATAGATTGCCTTAAAAAGTAGACTGCATATTAATCCAAAATTAAAAATAAAAGTAAATATACAGAGTATTTTTGTTCAGAGATCATAGACCGATGAGTTCTTCACAATGAGGAACGGCACCACTTCAATAAGTTCAATTGTTAGCAGGTGCTTGTGAATTCTCCCTTCAAACGCAGAAATGATGATACTTCAATCTGACGTAGATTTGGATAATCGCAAGATGGCGCCACCTAGTGTATAAACCCTAGCCCCGAAAGTTAGAGATCTTGACGATTCGGCGACTGAGGATGTGAACGTCTTTAGGTGCCGGCCACGGCGGTTGGCTTGATTTCAACAGGAGGTATTCGATTTTGGCAGCGGCTCTCAACTCTTAATTGTTATTTTTTACTTAAATTTTAAAATCTGCAGCATTGTTAAATTGTACTTAATTTTTGAAGAAATGCACTATGCATGTGATTTAGTGATTGTTAGTATAATGGTTTAGATGCAATAGATGCATCTAATTTCACTTGTATTTAAAATTTATATGGTACAGTTGGTTTTTACTCCTTCAGATCTAAGGGATGTGATTTTAGAAAATGAATTATTCATTGCGGAGCATATTGTGGGTGCGGGTTTTGCTAAACATAATTTTAATGCTACTTATTGAGGGTGAATTGATCTTCTCAGTTTTTTTCCAGAATACGGACCTTATTCAGGATGAAATGCTGCTTTCTAATAATTTATTTTTAAAGAGATGCTACTTCGGAGTAAGGACCTTATTGAAAATAACTTCTTAAAAGTATTTATTTTTGCCAAGAAGGTGAAAGCTACAATGGATCTATGCAAGTTTAGGTTATGCAAGCTTCAGGTTGGTATTGCTCTTCGTATGGTTTAGTGTTCTGTTTGGCTAATAATTTTTGAATTTCCTTGATGCTAGGTCAGGCCATTTACCTGTTGTTTGGCAATTTACTCATACTACATTTTTAGATTATATAGTTCTAGTGTTTGGTAGACATTTGATGATGAAAGTGTTAGAAGATACATGCATTACAAAGACAAGAGCCACTGATGACACTTTTAGAAGTCCCAAAAATGACCCGATCCATATTTTACTCAAAACGTGACTCACTCATGACACTTTTTTATTTTACGGAGTATTAATTTGTTATACCCCAAATGCTATCGAGTATTAAAACACTTGTAATATTCCATAAAAGATACAAGTAAATAAAAAATATGGATTAAAACATAATCCTTATATTGTCGGTCGGTAAAGTATCCATGCTTCCACTTCTTCTAGTGAATGTTTCTCATTGTCAATCGTTCTTGACTTGTTGTTTCACTTGTTTGCAATTAGCTCTAGTAGATGATTCAAAAATCAACAATAACATCTTGAATGGTAAGAAAGATAGTAAGCCTAGCAACTTCCTACCTCTAAGTCGTCATCTACGAGTGCATGTAAAGATATTATTTTGAAATTTGATTTCAAATAGATTCATGAATAAATTATACTTCGAATAAATTATTTTGTACTGGTTTTGAGAGCGGATTTGTGATTTCTAGTTCATTAGATGACAGAGATGATTCTGGCTTCTTAGTTCCAATTTTCAATCAACCCTAAGGCCTGTAAATTGTCTGACTCTCAGGTTTATATCTTTTCCTCTTGGTGACCATTCTTTATTCTTAAACGCTCTCTAGTAATATTGATGATGATGTTTTGTTTTTTGTTGGCTATGTATCCGGTACAGTGATATGCAATTAAAGATTTTGCTCTACTGCAATATTTTGAATAGTTTGTGCTTTTTTCATGTTCATTTGCTCTGATATATTATCATGAGTATTTTTTTGTGTGTGCAGATAATGTTATTTATGTTTAACAATGTTGATGGATTAATAAACTTCAAAGTTTGTTTTTTAATTTTCTCAATGTATTTTAATTCTCATTAAAATAAAAAAAAAGGAAATTTTAGTCATTGTTTACTTAATACTTTCTTCATTTCAATAGGGCTATCTTTCATTGCATCTTGATCTCGCTTCTATTGTGAAGTCAATCTTGATACATGAGGTAAGTTGCATCAGAGAAAATCCTTATTGTCTCTAAGCATTTTAATAAAGTGATTTTTGGCATTCAAGCGAGAACCCATGTTCTTCTAGTTTTAGTATAAGAATTCCCACAAGTTTGCATCTTGGATACTCCCTCTGCCCGAAAGGACATTTTTCTTGTAGTGAGAGTTAAACACTTCATAGAGTATAAAGATGAATAAGTATTGAATGAAGTAGTACTTTTAGAACTTAAACTAAAGAGCTAATTTTGATGGCAGATATGGCATACTTTTCCAAAAATGAAAATGTTATTATCTGGTTTATTTTAAGACTGAAAATCTTCTTTTAAGTTTGACCCTTTTATGTGATAAAAACATGTCGAGACTTGTGAAAGAGAACTCTTTTTTCCATGAACAAACTAAAATTGATGTTTGGTTTTGTCCTTGTCAATCTTGTGGTCAATTCTAATGCCGACTTATTTGAAGCTGGCGAGAAGGCTTTATTATTGAGAAGAACAAAAAGGATGAAACTACATTCACTGTCAATTTTCTAGGTATGTCACACACACACACACACAAGATCTATGTCAGATCTATACCCCCCTATAACATGATAAGAAAAGAGACGGTATCTTCAGCTCTGATGTTATAGAAAGGTACCCATCAGTTGGCATTTCAGTTGGTGATGAGGTGTGTGTAGCTAGGTATATTCTTGAGGTAAATAATTACATCTTTTTTCACTTTTTTAACTTATGGCATCCATGGTGTGACTGTAACATAACTCTTCCTCCAAGGATTGCATCCTTTGATTATTCTTGTTTGGTTTTTTCACCTTCGTGGCCAGGGCGATTGGAATATAATGGTGCCGGTGCTCACACAAACTAAAGGTAAAGAATGCTTAGGTTATGATGGTTTATTTATGCACGAACGTGCATTTGCTATGATATGTCCTTGCACACCAATCAGCAGCCAGGTGCACATTAAACATCTCAAACGGGAAAAATGAATGAAAGAAAGAACGAAAGAAAGAAATAAGCTTAAATAATGACGCGACACTCTGATTATAGTTTCAGGCCATACTGGCTGAAGGAAAAGCCAGCAGATTATGATAAAAGCGGCAGTTTTGGCTTAATGAATGGAATGGAGTTCAGGTTTGGAGTTAGCCAGAGATGGGTGGTTCGTTATCAGAGGTACTCACTATGATCTATCCTTCACCAAGCCTGAATCTTAACTTGTGAATCTATCAAGCAGTTTATTAGCTATTATGATATGGTTAGTTTTTTTTATTCTTCCAGATAGCCTCAAAATGGACACAGAAGCTAAGGATGCTTGGCCTCCATGGTAAGAGGGAGAAATTTGCATTGAAGTTTTACAATGAAGTGTGCTATTTCTTTAAGTCTTACAATGAAATCTGCAAAAGAATCATATGACTACTTTGAGGATACATGCAGCACCCACAACCGCAACAACAACCCCTTCTGTTCTCTCCCACCACAGAATGTTGCTCTTCAAACTGGAGATCATAAAAAGTCCTGATGGATAATGCTCATTGCAGGTAGTTGTTGGTGCAGCATGCCCTGAACTTAGTATTTGGAGTGTAATTTTTAATTTCATATATGTTGTTGGACTAGGTTGTGATCCTGAGCTTATATAGGTGTCAGTAGAGTTGTGATGTTTTAGTCTTTTTGTACCAACACATTTGAAGTATATATTCTAAGGCATAATTCCTTTTCGGATTTTGCTTCTTGAATTTTGCAGCATGCTCTTGTATTTATCTTTTCTTATTTTAATAAAATATGATTTAAATGTATACTCTCTCTCTCTTTATATATATATATATATATATATATATATATATATATATATATATATATATATATATATAGGGATTGACTCCAGTCAGATGACATGTTTCGGTCAGATGACACTTTCGGTCAGATGACAACGAATGCTCATTCTGAATCAATGTAGTGCTCATTCTTAAACAACGTAGGATTCATTCTCACACAACTGTTCATCACAATGTAGTGTTCATTCATAGCCAGCAAGACGACAACATAGGGTTCATTTTGAATCCACGTAGTGTTGATTCTAAGACATTGTAGGGTTGATTTTCACACATTTGTTCATTATAAACGTAGTATTCATTCTGAAAGAACCTAGTACTCATTCCCTGCTCAGTGCAGTGTTCATTCTGAATTAAGGTGGTGCTCATTCTCAAACAAGGTGGTGCTCATTCTGATGCATGTCATCTGACCGAAAGTGTCATCTGATTGAAAGATGTCATCTGACTGGAGTCAATCCCATATATATATACACACATATACATACATACATATATATATATATATATATAAATAAATAAATAAATATATATATATATATATATATATACATAGATATATATATATATATGTGTGTGTGTGTGTGTGTGTGTATGTATATATATATATATATATATATACACGCACACACACACACACATATATATATATATATAGGGATTGACTTAAGTCAAATGACATGTTTCGGTCAGATGACACTTTCGGTCACGGTCAGATGACATGCTTCAGAATGAGCACCACCTTGTTTGAGAATGAACACCGCCTTATTTCAGAATGAACACTACACTGAGCAGACTGTGAATGAGTACTAGGTTGTTTCAGAATGAGTACTACGTTTATAATGAACAAATGTGTGAAAGTCAACCCTACGATGTCTTAGAATGAATACTACGTGGATTCAAAATGAACCCTATGTTGTCGTCTCGCTGGCTATGAATGAATACTACATTGTGATGAACAGTTGTGTGAGAATGAATCCTACGTTGTTTAAGAATGAGCGCTACATTGATTCAGAATGAGCATTCGTTGTCATCTGATCGAAAGTGTCATCTGACCGAAACATGTCATCTGACTGGAGTCAATCCCATATATATATATATATATATATATATATATATATATATATATATATATATATATTATTTTAAAGGGGGGAAATTTTATTAAGGAAGAAAGACCAAGTACAATCCAAGAGGAAAATTCAAATTACTTTCAACAATCTACTACCATTAACCCAAAAGAGATCCTACCCCCAATCCGCGAACCAGCTATCTTAACCAATCACCTCTTTCGTCTAGAAGCCCAACTCCAAGCTTGTATGTGATAAAAGCACCTTTGAATGATCGTTTCTTTAGTCGTGGTTGTTCCATCGTAAATGGCTTGATTCCTTGCTTTCCAGAGATGCCACGAGATGACTCCCGGCACGACTAATCTGAGGATACCCTTAAATGAAGATGACTCAGCACTGAACCACCAAGTGAGGAAGATTTGATTAAGTCGCAGTACTGAGGACGGTTTTGGTGCATCAATGAGGGCTGCGAAGTAACTCCATACGTGCAAGCTGAGGGAATAGGAGGCTAGCGTGTGATTTGCACAGGGGGCACCTACTGGGAAGACTATCCGAGAACCTTGCAGCAAGGTCTAGAAAGGGAAGACAGCCCATGAACGCTTTCCATTGAAAGATTCTGAGCTTGGGGGTTTGAGCCGAATGCCAAATATATTTGCAAGAGAGCCTGCAAGGTAGTCCATCACCAATAGAGATAAGCACATTCTTAGGGGAGAAGGGTTTCCCATGCCAGAGAAGAGGGTTGGAACTTCCACTGTAATGACTAAGGGCCAGCGCATGTACCCTACAGATCCTCTTCCATGTTGGGGAGTCTGTAAGCTTCTCCTTAATGTCGCCTTTCTTCACATAAATGCCCCTCATGAGAGAAGCCCATACACCGTTATCATGGTTAACCCTCCACCAAAGGTTTATTGAATGGAGAACCTGCATCTTTCCCAAGTCATTAATGCCCAAACCACCAGAAGAACTTGGTTGGCAAAGAGACGTCCAGCTTTTCCAATGGTGAAGCCTAGCGCCATTCCTTGATCCCCAAAAGAAGTTAGCCATCCGTGAATGAAGAGAGTTGATGATCGACGCCGGGATGGTGTGAACTGTCAGGACATGTAAGGGGATTGATGATAGAACATGTTTTATTAGAATAAGCCTTCCCATAGGGTTAAGAGTCTTGCTATACCATGAGAGTAGGTGCTTGTCGAAGTGTGCAACAAGATGATCACAGTGCGGCTTCCTAAGTATACCCTTGCAGATGGTTGCACCAAGGTAACGAAAGGGAAGAGAACCTGCTTCCATTGCAAGGCTCTTGCTCATGTTGGCCAGTTGAGAGACGGGGGTAGTGGTTTTGACATAAAAGTTACTCTTTGTGAAGTTGACTACCTGCCCCGAATCCAAGGAGTAATCTCCAAGAAGTTTCCTTAGCTTGAGAAGGTTGATAGTGTCCCCTTTTGTGAAGATCATAATATCATTCGCGTAGGTAAGATGGCCCGGCATCTTAACACTACCCAAATTAAAAGGATGAATGTGGCCTTCTTCCAAACTTTTGTTGAGCATTCTTGAGAGACCTTCCCCTGCAATAATAAAGAGAAGAGGTGAAAGGGGGTCACCTTGCTTGACACCCCTACACATTGGAAAATAACCAGTTGGCTGCCCGTTAATAAGAACCGAAAGCATGGTTCCTTTAAGGTTGGCCAGGAGAAGACCAATGACTTATCTGGAGAAGCCGAACTTTTTAAGAATAGCCTCAAGATAATCCCAACGAAGATTGTCGAAGGCTTTGGCGATATCAATCTTAATGGTCATGTTTCCACCGAACACTTTTCTATCCAGGTTATGAGCTGCTTCGATAGCTAGAAGGATATGATCAGCCATGCTTTTACCTTGTTGAAAAGCTGCCTGATTGGAGGAGATCAGCTTGGGCAGCAAGGGTTTGAGCCTGGTGGAGAGAATTTTGGTGTTGACCTTGCTCATGAACGTACTAAGGGAGATGGGCCTGTAGTCGTCGAAGCGTTTGGGGCTATCCTTCTTGGGGATAAGGGAAATGAGAGTACTACCATAGGCTCTAGGAATGGGAAACCCCAAGAAAAATTCTTGGGAGGCTTTGAGCATATCCTCTTTGATTATATCCCAACAAGAGCGGAAGAAAAGGCCATTGAAACCATCCGGTCCCGAGGCGCTACTGCTGTCCAGGTCCCAAACTGCCTGCTGAACTTCGTCCAAAGAAGGAATTCTGCTGAGAAGGGTGTTGTCACTGTCCGTAACGAGGCAAGGGATTTGTGTGAAGGAGTGAAGAGGGTTGGGGGGGGGGAGAGGGCCTTAAACTGCTTAGTGAAGTGAGTAGTGGCTTCCAAGCAGATTTCTGTTTGCGTGGAGAGCCCTAAACCATCATCCGAAATAATATGATTGATTGCAAGCTCCCTCCTTTTCCCATTTGCAAAGGCATGAAAGACCTTGGAGTTGGAGTCCCCAGATTCTAGCCATCTTGCATTAGCTTTTTGCTTCCAATAAGCCACCTCTCTGTGAGTAGCGAGTAGGAGCTTTGCGTTGGCCTCCTGGGCTAGTGCACGGTTGGCTTCGGTTGGATCTGCCTCATAGTGCTGCTGGGTTTGGGTTGCAAGCTCATCTTCCATTGTTAGATTTTCAAAGATATTGCCAAACTCATTCTTGTTCCACTCCCTAAGACATCCCTTTAGATCTTTGAGTTTGGCCACAAGTCCATGCATGCCACCACAAGAGCTACTCTTAGTCCAACATTCCTTAACCACTTGGAGGAACCGGTTGTGGTGTATCCAGGCATTCAGGAATCTGAAGGAAGAAGGACCACGGTCTAGGCTTGAATGGCAAGAAAAAAGGATAGCTTTGTGGTCACTACAAGCTTTGGGTAAATGATGAATATAAAAGGTTGGAAAAAAAGATTGAAATGCTAGGTTAACCAATACTCTGTCCAACCTACGCCATGTTTTCCCACGGCTCCTTGTGCCAGACCACGTGAAGAGACCACCGGAAGGGTCTGGACAGAACAGATTGCAGGCTTCAATGCACGATTTGAGCTCTTCCATACCTAGTGCGCTTGGTTCACACTGTCCTTTGAATTCTGAAGGCGAAGAAATAGCATTAAAGTCACCTCCCACCACCCAATTGTGATTTAAGTTGCTCCTCCCCTGCAAGCTTTCCCAAAGTTGCCTTCGTTCAACCACCGTGTGAGCCCCGTAAACACAAGAGATGGTAAGGTTGGAGTTGGAGTAGTTAACCATGGAGAAGTTGCAGTGAGTAACTTGTTCTTCATCGTCAAAGCTGACCAAATGCAGCAGACTAGAATCCCAAAAAATCCATCTCTTGTTATTAGTTGAAGAGAGATGATTGTTGAAACCCAATTTGAGGCCGTAGGTAGAGATGTGTGAGGCAGAAATTTTAGGTTCAAAGAGACAGAAGAAAGAAGGGGTGTGAATCCTCTTGAGGGAAATAAGTCTGTCGATGGAAGAGGGAACCCCACAGACATTCCAAAAAATCAGCTGCATTTGGAAACCAAAGATGATACTTTATTAGAGCTTTTACTCCTTGTCTCCATAGCATGAGGAGTATTAACTTTGGAGTGTTTGAGGTACTTTTTGAAAGGCATTGGGGTGTTACTGCAAGAAGAAATATCCACCTGGAGGGGTCAAAGTTCAGAGATGTCAAAAGGCATATCCCCTTCATTGCCTTCGGAGTGGCAATACAAGGTAGTGAAGTCGTCTTCTATGTCTAGGTTCCCAATATTCATGCACGTCGAGGAGGCTAGGGATGGTTTGCTAACCCAGTAGTCATCTTTACTGAAAAGGTTTGAGGCAAGGCAAGGGACTACTGGAGCAGAGGAGTAGGGGACCAATGCCAAACTGTCATCAGAGTTATGGTGGGGTAGTGGGACAGATTTATGTTTATGTGAAGGAGATGGCGTGGCTTGGGAGAGGGCATCATCTTCATTTACATCTTCAATGATAGGCATGAGAAGAGACCAGTGGGACTTCACCTGTTTGGACGTACTTGGTTGATCATAAGTGGTGTGAACAACAGGAGGGGCATGGGGAAGAGGGACGCCAGTTTTAGGAATGGCAACCTGATTTTAGACTAGGCTTTTGGTAGGGGAATATCTAGGTCCCACATTAAAACCATCCCTACCCAAAAGTGAATCTGGCTTGACTCGTCTTTTTCCTTTTACCCATGTCCACCCTGCAAGATCCTCCGTAAAGCCCGCTCCCTTGTGGCCCACCTCACCAGCCGGAGCTTTTCCGGTGAGGTTCGATAGTTTATGCTTTCGGCAATTGTTGACATTATGCCCAAAAATAGAACAACAAGAGCAGAATTGTGGTGGATTCTCAAACTTACAAGGGATCCAGAGATCCTTGCATCCCAACCGAACATTAAGACGGGAAGGAAACTGTAGAGAGGTGTCCCTTTCAACGCAGAATCTAGGTTGTTCAGGGAAAACACCAATCGCAGTATTGGAGTCGAGTTTAATAGGCTTACCAAAAAGGGATGCCACTTTAAATAGAACTCCATGGTCGTTGAGATGAACTGGGTAATGCTCGAGCTTTATCCACACCGGAGCAATTGGGGATTCACGAGTTGGGGAGTAGTCTGGGGACCATTTGGAGATTGCAACACTGATTCCATTGATAACCCAGTGTCGCCGGGAGAACCAACGCAAGTAGTCTCCTTCCCGTTTAAAGAGGAAGAGAATGTCATTCTTTCGCAGCCGATCCATTCTAATATACCTGCTGTCATCACCTTTGAAGACAATGCACTCCTAACTCCCCTAGCTTCCCTGGAGGAAGTAAGAGACACTGTCTCGAGTCTTGATGGAGACAGTGCAAGTGGGCTTGATGGGTACAATGGCAATTTTTTCAAATTTTGTTGGCCTATTATTAAACATGATGTCCTTTTGGCTTCATAGGAGTTTTTCCTTGGTCTTCCTATCCCCAAAGGTTATGGAAGCACACATATATCTCTTATCCCAAAAATTGAGAATCCTAAAAGATTTGATGATTTCAGGCCCATTTCTCTCTCAACTTTCATGAGCAAAATTAACACCAAGTTACTGGCAAACAGGCTTAAGTCCTTGCTGCCCAAAATCATTTCAGATGAGCAGGCAGCCTTGCAAAAGGGTAAATCTTGTGACGACCACATCTTACTGGCGAAAGAGGCTATTCACCACATTGACAGGAAGGTCTTTGGGGGAAATGCCATCATCAAAATTGATATGGCCAAAGCCTTTGATAAGATGGAATGGGGATACATCGAACACATCCTTAAGGGTTTTGGTTGATTAGAACTGGTCAGGGCTGTCATACAGGGGCCACAGTCCTTCTGGCTTCAAGCTTTCCCGGTTCAAAAGTATGTGCTTGATCGCATCACCTCCCTCTGTAGAAACTTTCTTTGGGGCAGTAAGCTTGCAAAGGTGGCATGGGCAGATATTTGCAAGCCAAAGACTGAGGGGGGTTTGGGCCTGAAAGATGCTACAACTTGGAATAATGCACTCCTATGCAAACTGCTTTGGAATTTAGCAGCGAAGAAGGACTCCGTGTGGGTTAAATGGGTTCATAGTATCTACATTCGGGATGAGGACATCTGGAATTGGCAACCCAAAAAGAGGCACTCTGTCTTCTTTAAAAGGTTAGCCTACGTACGTGAGCTTTTGGCCCAGAAGCTTGTTGTTTGCAACTCAAATCTGGCAGTGGCTATGCAGCCCTTTTGTTTGGCAGGTAACCTTATTCCCGGGAAGGTTTATGAGTTGTTTAGGGCAAAGGCCAACCACAAGCCTTGGATGGCTTTTATCTGGCAGAGCTTTATTCCTCCTAAGTGCTCATTTACGATGTGGCTGGCACTTAGGAGGAGGCTGCCCACTAAAACTAACCTCGAGTTCCTCGGACTACCCATGGACTGCACTTTTTGTGGCAACGAGTTGGAAGATGTGGACCACCTTTTCTTTAGCTGCGAGGTTTCTAAAGACGTTTGGAGAGCTGTGAAGATTTGGCTACGGATGGATGGGCAGTTGGGCACACTGAATAGAGCAATCAGATCCTTAAAAGCTTTTAGAAGAGGGGATGTGATCCTCAAGAAGGCTAGAAGGATTGCTCTTGCTTGTACGGTCTTTCATCTATGGAAGCATCTTAATGCAGTTCACTTTGACCAAGAGCCTCTACGGGTTGATGCTGTGGTCTTCAAAATTAAGGTTATGGTCTATTCCATTTTGGGAAGAATGTGGCCCCTTTATGTCTTCCCCTATTGATGTACGATGTGCTTGTATGATGGCGTGTGTGCCTTGTTTGTTTTTTGTAATTTGTTTGATGTAAGGCTTGGTTTTTGTTAGTTATGTTGGGATTGGAACTTGTCTTTACGCTCGGGTATGCCCGTTCTATTTGTATATTCTTATCCTTTCTTATTCTATTTACATTTTACCGTTGAAAAAATAAATGGAGAACCCACTGGTTTCTTCAAGATGGAAAGGGGGGTAAAACAGGGCGACCCTCTTTCCCCTCTCCTCTTTATTATTGGGGGGGGGGGGGGGA